CAAGAGCTGGGATTACAGGCACATGCCACCATGCCCAGTCTCAATTGTCATCTCAGCATGCCCAGGGGACAGGGCCAACACAGCAGGCCTGGGGATTGAACCCCTGGCCCCTGTGCCAGCTTGCAGGCACTTTAATCTGCTAAGCTGTTTGGCTGGCCCTGGGTGATTTGTTTTGAAGTGCAGAAGCTTTTCAAAAAGATGAGATCCATATTATTGATTCTTTGAAATATTTCCCAGTTTTATTTTTGTTTATAAATTCTCTACCTACATCTATGTCCTTAAAAGTTCTACTGATTTTCTCTTCCAGAAGATTTACTGTTTCAGTTTTATTATTTAAATCATTGATCCAGGATGGGGAGATAGCTCAGTTGAATAAGTGCTTCTCTGGCAAGCGCCGGGTCCTGAGTTCAATCCCCGGTACCACAAAAACAAAAACAAAAAACCCCAGAGGAACAAACAAATCATTGATCCATTTTGACTGTAATTTTGTGCATGGTGACATGCATGGCTCTATTAGAAGCCATTGGCATGTGGAAAGCCAGTGTTTCCAGCACCACTTATAAAGAGGCTTTTTGTTGTCTCTCTCTCTCTCTCTTTTTTTTTTTTTTTTTTTTTTTTTGGTGGTACCAGGGATCAAACTCAGGACCTTGTGCTTGCCAGGCAAACACTTATTCCCTGAGCTGTATTCCCAGCCCTAGAAGCTTTGTTTTTCCAGTGAACATATTTGGCCCCTTTGTCCAAGATAAGGTGGCTTAGTGTGTTACTAGTTGTGTGTGCATCTTCTAGTCTGTTCCATTGGCCTTCTGGTTTGTCTTCATACCAGTACCATGCTGATTTTATTATAGTAACCCTGTAGCATAATTTCAAGTCAGAGATTGTGATGCCTCCTGCCTTTCCTTTGTTACCCAGTATGGCTTTTGCTATTTTATATCTCTTCTGGTTCCAGATGAATTGTAGGAATGTTTTTCCTGGCTCTGTGAGTTGGCATTAAATCATCTCCTAAATTTCTTGTACAATTCAGCTGTGAATCTATCCAGATTCATTTTTTCTTTGTTAGTAAGTTTTTTATTACATTTTCAGTTTCACTGGCTGATTTTAGATTATTCAGAGTATATCTTCTTCCATCAGTTTCAGTAATTTGTACCTATCTAGCTATCTGTCCATTTCTTCTCCCACAGAATGGAAAACACAAAGGAAATGGACATTTTCCTAGATTCAAATAAGATGCCAAACCTGAGTCCAGAAGATATACAAACCCTGAATTACCCAACATCAGTCAATGAAATTGAAAATGTAGTAATAATAATAGTAAAACTACTAACAAAGAAAGGCCAGGACCTGATGGATTCACAGCTGAATTCTACAACAGATTTAGAGAGGACACAATGCCAACTCTTCCTAAACTCTTAAATGAAATGGAAAGGAAAGCAATTCTCCCAAACTCATTCAGGGAGGCAAGTATTGTTCTGACAGCAAAATCAGAGAAGTACCAAACCAAAAAACAAAACTACAGGCCAGTCTCCCTAATGAACGTGGATGCAAAGATCCTCAATAAAATACAAGCAAACAGAATGCAGCAAATCATCAAGAACATTATACACCATGACCAAGTGGGATTAATCCCATGAATGCAAGGATGGATCAGCATATTCAAATCCATAAATGTAATATACCACATCGATAGAGCCAAAAACAAAAACTACATGATTATCTTTATAGATTCAAAAAAAGTTTTTCAGAAAATCCATTCATTCATTAAAAAAAAAAAATACAGAAAAACAGAATAGATGGTCTATGTCTCAACCTGAAAAGAGCCATACTAAATACTCAATGGGCAAAAATTAAAGGTCTTCACTATTTTTTTAAGGCCTTCACTTTAGGAGACGTTTTTTTGTCTTTTTTTTTTTTTTTTTTTTTTTTTTTTTTTTTTTTTTTTGGTGCCAAGGACCGAACCCAGGGCTTCCAGCTTGCTAGGCAAGCATTCTACCGCTGAGCCAAATCCCCAGCCCCATTAAGGCCTTCACTTTAAAACTAGGAACAAAACAATGATGTCTACTGCCTCTACTCCTATTCAGTATAGTTCTAGAAACATTAGTCAGAGCAATTAAACAAGAGAGAAATAAAAGGAATAAGGACTTAAAAAGAAGTTTGTTGGGAATCCATTGGTCTCACTGCAATTGGCTCTACCCAGGGAGAAATGGTGGCAGGAATGAGAAAAGAAGTTTCAGTCTGTGTGAAGAGAACAGCACATTATGAAGAATTTATTGTGTTAAACTCTTAGCTGTTCCTGCCTCATCCCAGAGAAATGATTGAGGGCTGGTGCTACATTGAAACTATTACTCTGACCACCGTGCTAAGATTAGTTTTCAGAATTCTGGTTTTCTTTGTAAGTTTGGAATAGGCAAGTTTCCCCTCTGAGACATTTGAAATATTTTCATCTTGATTCCTTTAGATAATACTGTCATCACATTGTAGCAGCTTCTTAGTTTCTTAGTTATATTCTCTTTTTGTCATGGTTTTATTTTTCTTACTGAAACTGTATTGATAAAGTTCAAAAAAGTCTGCTCCATGAAGCTAAGCTAAATGTGTGCCTCATGTTTCCACACCCCTGACAACCTTAGGGTTTTCCTTCTACTACAGTGTGTTCTGCCCTTGCCTAGAGCCGAATTCTGGCTTAGGTGTAATGGTTTTCTCTATGTGACACTGACTCTGAAAGTTCAGTGGCAATTGTGATCCAGTATTCAGTGACAATAAGAAAGAAAACCTACAAGTACAGTAAGGATACTCAGGGAGCTCTGCAAAGCTAGAAGGAAACCCTGCTTCAATGCAATGATCTAACATGCTGGCAGGAATCAGTGTCCAAGGAGCGGCCTGGTCTGCAAAGGTTTTTGTCTCAGGTCTCATTGGGACTCTAGTCAGGCAGCTATGGCATTGCTTTTCTTCTCCCTCTTGGCTCATTAGGCATAAAGTGGAGCAGCCTTAACGATGAAAAAGAGTTTCTATTGTATGCACTGTGCAGTCAGGCACAGTCCTCTGCCAAGACTCGAGTCAGAAGCTCCCACTGTGTTGTTGAGGCTCCCTGCCTGGCTCAGCAAGACTTGCCCTGTGTATTATACTGACTGGCTGCATGGGAAGGTTCTGGGATAACATCAGCCCTCAAACTGTGATGAACAAAAAAAAAAAAAAAAAGCACCGGGAAGATAGCTCAGTAGAATAAGCACTTGCCTGGCAAGCGCAAGGGCCTGAGTTCAATCCCCGGTTCTGGGGAAAAAAAAAAAAAATTGTGATGAAGCAAGTGCTGGGATTACAGGCATGCACCACCACATGTGGATAAAGTTTTGCTTTTGTGTCTAATTACTTTGTGGTATACTGGTTTTCAATGTATATAATACATTTTATTCATCTTTTTTATTCATTGCTGTCCTATATCAATCTAGAATTTCTTTTATTTTTTAAAATTTATTTATTTATTTGTGTGTGTGTGTGTGTGTGTGTGTGTGGCCAGC